CTTTCGCGGCGTGGGTACGCGCGCAGGCACGGAGCCCCATCCTTCCTTGGGTCGCTTCCCAGAATTCCCAACAGAGCTGCTTCTATCTCAGGAGGCTTCGACTTAAACAGCTCGTTGGCTTTTCCCACTCGGAGACGAGCATTTGTGCTCCCCCCTGAAACATTCGGACAGTGGTGTCTTCTTTAAAAAGCGGGGGGAGGGAGAACGCAAGCGGTCCACAAGAAATTAGGCTTCTCTTTAGAAAAGCGGAGTTAAACGTGTCTGGGGAGAAGCAAACTTGTCCCGACTTTCGCGTCGTCTTAACTGCAGACACAACAGAAACCGGAGGGGAAGGGAGGGGGGCGCGAGTCTGCCTCGCTCGTTCGCTCTCTTTCCCCTCCCCTCCTTTTAAAGCAGACAAAGTAGACAGGCCCGGCCACGCTCCAGTCTTGCTTGCTCTCCCCTCCCCCAGGTGTTTGGATGTGGATGGGGTGGAAAAGGGAGGAGAGCGCTGCGTTTAGCCCGAGAGGCGGAGAGGGGGGGATAGGAGTGCAGCGCAAAGCGAGCTCCGCGTCCAAAGCCTTTTAACTTCCCTCGCTCCTTCCTCCTGCTATTCCTCTCTCTCGTTCTCCCTTCCTGCCCTCCCTTCTTCCCTGCCCTCCTTTATTCCCGGGGTCGAGAAGCCACTATGCCTCAGCTCTCGGGAGGCGGCGGCGATCCGGAGCTTTGTGCCACCGACGAGATGATCCCTTTCAAAGACGAAGGTGACCCTCAGAAGGAAACGATCTTCGCCGAGATCAGCCACCCGGAGGAAGAAGGAGACTTGGCCGACATCAAGTCTTCGCTAGTCAACGAGTCGGAAACGATCCCCAACAGCAACGGGCACGGACATGAGGTACGGAGAGAAAGGGCTGGATTTAAACTTGGAGCGTGTGTTTGCGTGAAGGACAAGAGAGAGTGCTCCACAGCTGATGGAGTGGACCGGCACAAAGTTTCTGGAAGGAGCGATGGCAAGTGTGAGCAGCAGGAGTCCCGGAGCAGCAGAGTCACGCCCGGAGGAGAACAGTCCGGTTTCGCTCTCTGGGTGGGCTTCCAGTTGGGAGGGGGCGAGGAGAATCTTTTCCGGCTTTCTTTCATCTATTAGCCTCAAGTGTGTTCTGGGATTCGAGCAGGGAATGGGGAAAAGTTATTTTCTTTTTCCTTAATTTTAAAGGCTTCCCTTGTTGAAGTTCCCACATTCTTTTTTCGTGGCAAGCTAAGGAAAGGGTGTGTGTGAGCCCAGAATGGAAAACGGGAAACTGCAAGCCGCCAAGTGGGTTACAGTTTTGACCACGGCGCTTTGAAAACCGATACTCCACTGTTCCCCATGAATGAATAGCGCTTGGCGTAGTGGTGGGAGGAGAGAGCGGAGTTTGGAGCTGTTTGCACTCCCCACCCCCAACCCTTTGGAACCAGACCCTGGGCTTGCTCAGAAGTTGAAATAGAACGATTGGTTTGTTTACCCAGAGTTTAATCTTATTGCTACTTTATCCCCAACTTAGAAACGGGGGGGGGGGGGGGAAGAGAGAGAAGGCCACTACTGCTAGAATGCAACTATAGTAGTCTTTCTCCCTTGCCCCATTAGCTTTTTTTTTGCTAAACTGGTTCCTTTTGCTTTGTTCCTTGTAGATGTGCAGATAGCTATTAAGGCTGAAATGTAAACCCCTGTTCTGTTTTGAGATTAAAACTCTGAGTTTGGTGCTGGGGGTTCTCTATATTATCCTGATTACACTTGCCTTACTGCCCCCCTCCCCAAGATAACATCCTAGGCACTCTTCAAGAATAGATCTTGTGAGGCAGAGGGTCACAGAATCCTCATCCAAAAAAAACAAACAAAACAGGGATTCCCAGTTGGACTTAGAAGTTGGTTATAAATTGAGAATGCCACTGTAACCTTATGAAACCAGAGGGTCCATGCATTGTTGCAAAAAAGAGGTATCTACTGCTTGAGTTGATTCATGCATTAATAAAACCTGGAGGTCAGTTTGAATTTGTTTATTTGGGAAAAGATGCCTGAGAGATTTGAAGAAATGTTATTTCTGTGGCCTCAGTGGCTCAGAGATAGTAATAGCTGCTCGTAAGTCAGAAGAGTTTCTTTCTTCCTGTTGCTTCTGGCAGGAATTGATGTAGAAATATTTTAGGAATGTAGCAATGGGCCCTGCCCTACTAATAATTAGGAAAAGGGTCCTAGGCACATTAGTTCCAAGTAAATTCCACTCACAATCAATGTCATTTATGGTTAGGTACACAGCCTTATATATGTCTGAGAGAATAATAAGTCACGCTGAACTTGGGCTGTTCCTACCATTAGGCAGAATGAGACAGATCCCTTTGGCAGCTGATTTTGCATTTTATAAAACAGCAGCATTAAATTGCTGCTGTTTGTTTACAATGGCTGGCTTACTCTAGGAGGAGGCCCTTGTGCTCCTATCTTCTTAAATGCTAGAATAACTTTTTGTTCTTTACATCTTGACTTGCATAAGAGTTACCTGCTTTTTTTTTTTTCTCATGCAACAAAATACCAAGGGTTGCTACAATGAAATAGGGACTGCTTGAATTGTCTCTGATGTTTCTAAATCAGTGCTTGAATCTGTATGAACTTTTATTGATTAAAATGGAGCCTATTTAAATATTAGCAAAATGAGAGTCATTTGGTTAATACCTAGGGGTTACTATGAGTTCTCACATAGTATGATGCCTTCCTTTTTGTAAAGACTAAGCATGATGTGAATGCCCTAAGATTCCAATTGTGTATGTACTTGTCTGGGAGTAAGCTTCATTCAACATAGTAATACTCCTGAGTAGACGTGCATTGGTTTGTTCTGTAAATTAGCTTTCATGGCATGATGAAAGGCATGTTTATATGAGTCATAGGATCATACAATAGCATTAATCTAGAGCAGCCATGAATATTCTTGGATTGAAATCAGCAAGGTCACAGAATTAGTCATAAACTCTTTAAATGATTTGCATAAACTATTGGGTAACTTACCTACATTAAAACGAACCAGACAAAGGTTTTTAATAGTGCCAATTTCAATAAAATAAACATCTGATGTAGAATAAGGACTATGGAAGCCATCCTTATATAGCTGGAAACAGAAAACTGGGACATTCCTCCGTTTAGCTTATTTGTCCAGTAAAGTAAAAAATATATATACACACACACTTTTACTGAACTTGGACACTGACATTTTTTTTTCATTATGGGGTGAATGTACTACAAAATATGGTAGCAGTCATGTATGATTTTTTTTTTTTTTTTTTTAAGGTTTTT